AACATGTTGGCATTAAATGACAAACATTTGAGAGTAAATTGAATAGCAATTCCACAGAGGGCAAGATAGGACTAAATCCATCACCCATTTGCTGTGACTTGAAGGTGTCAGGAGAGGGATGTGCTGTATTAAATATGTATTTGATATAGTCAATTCACTGATCAGGCATCTGAAAGTCTACCTTTAATAGAATTTTTTAACTGAGTAGATTTGAATTAAGACAGTACCCAGTACCCCATGTTAGAGTTCATTTTATAAAAATGCAAATAATTTGTAATGACAGATTTAAGAGTGTAAGTCAATAATACATTCACTTGAATATATCCACTTAGAACCAGTTCTTTTCTGACTAGAGTTATGGAACAACATAGCGACATAAACTTCTTTGGCCACTGTGATTTCTCTTAGCGTAGGTTGACTTTGTCATGGCAGAAATCTGAGTAGATTCATCCAGAGAGAAGCATGAAGTCTAGGAATTTCTAGAGACTCAGAGAAGAAGGTCATCACTTGGTTGGGGAAGAGCTTTGTCCATTAGAAACTTCTCATGTACTACCAGCAGGTACAATTTTCAAAGTAGCCATCAGATGGCACCCTCCACCAAATTACCTGGTTTTTGTGCACGGGCTCTGAACTTTGTTGCTAGAAGAAAAACAGACCCATTAATCTTGCCCCAATTTACCGTCCCAGGGAACTTCAGTCCCAGCAAGATTACCTGCCCTAATGCCACCTAGGAAGTTGGTAACAGGGCCAGGATTCCCACAATGCCCTAACCAGCAAGAAGTCCTATGTGACAGTTATCTGAAAAGAGTATCCCTTTACCTTAAAGCAGCAAAAGAAAACCAAAGATACTGTGATTTGAGTACTTAAACCAAGTCTTCTGGCTATAACCTGAGCTGTAAGTGCATTTTTGGTCAGCTACCAGGTAGGGGGTGTTCAGTGAAGGCTCCCAAGAGAGCAGGGAGGAGGAGGGGACACCAAGGAAAGATTGCTGGGGGGCGGGGTGGAGAGAAATGGGGGTGGTGGTGAACTTAAACACGGCACAGAAAGAGAAACGCCAGGAGAGAAGATGCCTGAACAGGGGAGACAGTACACACACCCTCATAGTCAAGAAGTCCCACAGCTTTCATCTATCATTTGCCCCATATCGCACTATCTCAGCTCCAAGCTTGCAAGATTCATGCAAGTTGAGGACTTAGCCATTGAGCCGTCATCTGGGCCCATATCTAAGCCTCTTTTGTGAAAGCCAGACTCACCAAGATCTGCTACAGTGGCCCCTAGACCTGGCGCCCAGGTCCGCGGGCAGCCACTACACCTGTTGGTAATCAGGAAACAGAACGCACAAGGTGGCCGAGGAGCACCATGGTTTCCACCTCTTGCAAGGTCCACGTGAGGCACCGCCCAGGATCTAGATGATTTAATCCATTTTCACGGAGGGGCTTTTACGAGCAGCAATTAAGGCGCGGTTTAAGGAATTAATCACTCACGAGTCATTAACTCTGCCCACTATTGTACAGTTAACAAGCTGAGGCCAAATTACTAGCGTGGGGACCCCCACCGGCGAGGTGACAGTGGTCACAAACGCACTGCCGACTTCTGGAAGGGTCTAAACAGGTGGGAGCAGTTTGTAGGCAGGTGACGGAAGTTTCCTGCCCGGACAGAGAAGAATCAGTGCTGTCTCCTGCCCGCCTGTCCGGAGGTTTGGTTCAAAAGAGAGCTCAGAATGGAGGCTGAGCGCTCAAAAACAGGCTGCAAGGAGGTTGGGAGAAGGGCCAACCCTTTGGAGTGTGTTGGGCGGGGGAGACCAGGTCCCTACCACACGCCTCCTGCGTAGCTGAGCCCAGCCTACCGCACGTGGTTCTCCTCCACCACAACATTAGCTCCAGAATGCAAGAGAAACCCACGAGAAGCCACGAACAACACGGGACCCGTCCAGAACCAGACCGGAGAGAAGCCGCAGGCCGCCACCCCACGACCAGGGAGGACCCCAAGGACCAGGCTGCCGGCTGCGGGCGGGCGCTGGGGTCCTCGCTGGGGTCGTCCAGGGCTCCCCGCTGCGCACGCGGCCACATCGTACTCCGCCTCTGCTAGTGTGCCACCTACTTCCAGCGAGCAGAAAAGACGCACCTGCTGGCTGCGGACGCGCGCCGGAGCGGGGCGCTGCGTGGGAGATTCCCTGGAGCCCCGTCGGCCCTAGTGGCCGTCGCTGTGCCGGCACCAGCTCGGTGCCCTTGCTCCCGAATTCCCAGCAGGCTACCCCCAAGTGGTCAGTGTCCCTTGCGCGGACGCTGCTGGCAGCGTGTAGCCAAACCTACAGCCTCCGTAGGGAAGAGTCAAGAACCGTGGAAAGGGGTTCTTGGGAAAGCGTTGAAGGCTTACCGCGCGAGTCGCGTTCCCCTCGGGGATCTTTGAGACCGGAGCTGGTGCCTGCTCCTGGAAGCCGTGCGCTGCCGCGGCCGCCGCCTCTGCAAAGCGCTCTCTGAGGCAGCAAGCGTGAACCCCCGGCCCAGAAGAGTTTAACCACCCCTGATCACAAAGCGGTCTCAGCTGCAGCCTGAATTAGGGCCCGTTTTCCACCCCACCTGCGTCGCTGCTACTTCGCGATGAGACTGCCTGGAGCAGGTGAGGGGGCGGGGCGGAGGAGGGCTCCCTGCAGGGAGCTGCAAGAAAGTCCTTGCAGCGGCGGTGGGATTTTAAATGTGGCTCAGTGAGCTGTCCCCAGGAATTCAGCAGAGGTTCCATTACATGTACTGTGACAGGGAACTGCTTTGCACACCTGGTTATTTCAGCTACCATATTTAGCGTGGTTTCTTGGCCTCACTTTCCTTATTTAAGAAGCAGAGTAAGGACTCCCCATCGTGGTATAGTAGGCCAAGTCTCTGCTTGCAGCACCAGCGTCCCATATGGACAACTGTTGGAGTCTAGGCTGCTTCATTTATGATCCTGCTCCCTGTTTATGGCCTGGGAAAGCAGTGGAGGATGGCCCAGGTCCTTGGACCCCTGCACCATGTGGGAGACCCAGAAGAAGCTTCTGCCTCCTGGGTTCAGACTCAACCAGCTCCAGCCATGGCAATTTGGGGAGTTAAGCAGTGGATAGAAGATCTTTCTGTCTCTCCTTCTTTCTGTAAATCTGCCTTTCCAATTAAAAAGAAAAAAAAAACTTTTTTAAAAAAATGGAACTATTTGTATCTCCTAAACAGAACTTCTTAGAAGTTGTTCACTTGCAGGAAACCTTGAGTAAGCTGTAGCTACTGGGCCCGTTTCAGGGGTTCGGCTGTTTTAAGAATCAGCTTCCTAGGATGGGTCCCTGAAACCTAAGTAGGGCTTGCTCAATCGGCACCTAGGAGGGTGGTTTTGAAGAACATCCACTCTCCAGGGACAATGGAAAACAGAAGAGGAAGGGGGAGTCTGTGGAAAGGAGAGCAGAGTGGTCAGGGACATGACCTAAGAAAAGTGAAAGGAAAGCTCGTGGTGGGCTGGTCAAGGTCATGGGCATCCATGGCTGCCTTAAGGACTAGAGGGCAGAGCAGGTGTGGTGCTGGGAGGAGGTGTGTCTTCTGAGTGAGTAAGTTAGCCCTGTTGGAATGAAGGCCTTAAAGGATGAGACAGATTTGGATACCCTGCAGCCTGTGTTGGCTTATTATTATTGTCATTATTATTATTTCGTACACGTGGGAAAGTGCGGTTATTACCCCCTTACACCTGGTGAAGAACTGATTCCATGACCTCTCACCTCTCAGCCTGCTGTGTGCCAGGCAGGCACAGGTGGAGGTCTAGGGGTCCCCGCCCTAGTTTGCCATACCCTCTCATGGCCCAGTATCAGGACTGGTCCCTGAGGACACCCTCCCCTGTCCCCAGTCACCCTTTCCCAGGTGGGTTTCGGAAACTGGAGTGCGAACCCGGGTGGTGGATACCAGATCCTTGGTAGAGCTCACACAATCATTTTAGCCATTCTAGTGAGGCAGAGTATCTTTAGACCAGGAAAGGGACCTGGGGGACGGAGACTTTACTACGAACGATGGAATCCTTCCAAAGCAAAGGCTCTTGCTTCCACATCCCCAGTGTACACGCGTGGGGCGAAAGGGTCCTGTGGACCAGAGCTGCGGGAGTCTGGGAGACGCCAGGCGGGTGGCACCCCGCTCCCTGCTGGCAGTTTCTGCAGAATCCCATTTCGCGTGACATGGCGAAGCCGGCGCAAAACTTAGGAGTTCCTCCCCGCGCCCCAGAGCGGGCTCCAAGGCAGGGAGGACTGTAATGCCATGCGTCCAGGAAGGGAGGCAGCGCTCAGCGCCCCACATGCGCCTCACACCCCGTCCCTGCTTGGGTGCGGGGAAAGGCTGCTCCGCCGCAGTCCTCCGAGGACGAATGACACCAACCCCCGAGCGGACAGGCCTGCCACCAAGCCGGTGCCCGACACAGGGACCCGCAAAAATCCCAAGGGCGCGGGGATGCCAGGAGCCGCCTCCCACTGTTGCGCTCTCTGCCGGGACTGGGGAAAGCTCCAATTGCGGGGAAGGGTGCAGGCAATCACGAGGCTCTGGCGATTTTCCGCTGCCACCAAGTATCCCCAGAAAAAGGTCAGAAAATGCATAGGCCTCTGCTTTCCTCCCCTGCTCCAGAACGCCCGGGCCCGCGCACCCCATGTTCGCCATCCTGCGCGCTCCATCCGCGTCAAACCACAGCGAGCAGCAGCTCTTTAATGCTCCCAAAGACTGCAACTATAACAGGTCCGCAAATTCTAGGTTTCCTGCCTCCCCTTCCTCCCTGGTAACGGCTCATCCGGAATCGCCGTGCCACGTACGGGAACCGTCAAGGCCGAGAGGTTTAGTCCTTTGGGTCCAGGAGGCTCCGCAGCCTCTTCCCGCACAGCTGCAGGACCTGCAACCAGAGCGCATCCCGGATTCAAGCCTGGCCTGCCGCTGGCCAGCGGGACAGGGAAAGAAAAAGGCCAAGCATTGGGCCATGGAGAGAGGGCACAGGTGCAGCACGCGCAGCCGGCGTCCCTAAAGGGCTTGCCACGGCTTCCCGATGGCCTGGATGTGCTCCTTGGCTTTTAGGCGCAGCGCCGCGATGCTGCTGTTGCGAGGGTCCGCCTCGTCGAGCGGGAACTTGTCCCCGAAGCCCGGCCCGCAGGGGTAGGCAGGTGGCGGCGGCCCGAGCTGCTGCAGGCTGGGGCCCAGCGGCGGGGAGTTGAGGAACGGTGGTGGCGGCGGCGTGTAGCTGGCGGGCAGGCTCTGCGCCGGTGGCCCGAAGCCCGGCAGGCTCTGCAGGGCCGTGGCTCCCCCGCCGGGCAGTGACGGCCCGAGCCACGACTCCAGTGGCAGGGCACCCCCCGCCGGACCCCCGCCACTGCCACCGGCACCCGGGCCCGCCCCGAGGGGCGCCAGGGCGGCAGAGGGCGGCGAGCGGCTGAAGGAGAGGAGGGGCGGGTCCTGCAGCTTCATGGACGACACCTCCAGTTTCTCCTGCCGCCGCCACTTGGCCCGGCGGTTCTGGAACCACACCTGCAGGGAGAGAGCACAGCAGGGTCTGACCCGGAATTTCGGCTCCCAGCTTCCCCTTATTCTCCGTTTTCTCCTTTTGTGCAGACTTTTCCCTAAGTTCTTAACTTAGTGCAACTTTGTCCTTCCAGCACAGAAAACTCAGCCACAACGACTCTAGCCGCTGGTTCCTGGACTGCCCGTGCTGGGAGCTCGGTCTCTTCCCTTCACCCTTGTTCTCTCCCTCTTATACTTTCAAAAAAAATGATTTTTAAAGACCAGAAAGATTGCCAAGAATGCTTCCCTTCCCCCCTTGCAAACAGAGCAGAGCCAAGTGGCTGAGTCTGGAGAACTGTGAAAGAACGGTGGCCACGTTGGTTGCTTAAAGGGTGGGGGCTGTGAGGGGAGAAAGCAGCTCTGAGTCCAAAAGGAGGGTGAGAGGGGCTTCTAGAACTGAGAGAACAACACGTAGTGCCTGAATGGGGGGGGGGGGAGAGAGAGAGAGAGAAATTAGGAAGAGGCAAAGAGCAAAGATGTAGGGAGCCTGCCCCTTCTTACAGAAGGTTCATCTGGGTGCCCAAGACCCTGTGGGTCAGGAAAATACCAGATGTGTGCTGTTGGTGAAGAAAAGAAAAATTCAAACCTGGTGGGAGTTGGGGGGATCACCTGAACCCTGGTCCCTTCCCTCACCAGCACCTTTGGATCCGTTATCCAGGGACAAAGGACTAAAGATTTCCCTACTGCCGCTGTTCACATGGTAGCAGCCCTGCCTGCTACTCTGTCCTCACACACAGCTCCATCTGATTACATCAGTCATATGTCAAGAATGTAGTTAGGTCATGGCTATGCCATGGTGGGACACCAACATCCCATGTAAGCAGTGGTTGTGTCCCGGCTTCCCCACTTCTGATTCAGCTCCCTGCTTCACACCCAGTGTCAGATGCTGCCCCCATGTTTGGTTCCCTGACCTGGGAGAAGCTCCTGGTTTCAACCTGTGTCAGCACTGGCAGTTGAGGCCATCTGGGGAGTGAACCATGAAGAATGAAAGATTTCTCACACCCTCTCCATCTCCGTTCTCACTCTCTCTGTAACTCCGACTTTCAAAATAACAAATTTCATCTTTAAGAAGGAGCACAGCCACAGGCTGGGTGCTGTGCTGGTTGCAGAGCAGGCATAGACATGGTGCTCAAGAATCTCTTGCCAGAAAGAAGCCCTCAAGCAGAGGCACCAGGGAGCCACACACTCACTTGCTGGGGCTTCGAAGCCTTACTGCTCCTCTTCCCTCTCTGCCCTGCACCACCCTCCCTGAAAGCAGGTGCTAGAAGATTCTACCCCTTCCATGAAATAATTGTGGTATTGTGGTCTCAGATTAGGAGACACGGAACTGCCCTTGCTAGCTAATCCTGGGTGACATTTGGGGAATGGTTTTCAGTACCATGCAGTTGCCTCATTAATTCAACCCTAAACTTAAGCAGAAGAGACCCAAAGCTAGGACTTGTCTCTGACTTCTCTTGGGTACTGGTGACAGCATCACTCCCCTACACACACCTGAATATTTGCATTTCCTGGAAACCTAATTTATCCGATGAACACAGAAAGCCCAGCTCAGTTCCCTTGCCTCTCACCTCTCAGCTCCTGGGACATCAGCTCCCAGTGTCTTCGCTTTCAGGCCTGGAAAAACTCTCCCAATTTGGAACTCCTCCCGGATTTTTTCACAGATGACTAACAAATATATTTAAGGCTTTCAAATATTTTAATGATGAGGGATTAAAGAGAATTCAGCTTTAATTAAAGCCAAAAAAAAAAAAAAAACCCTTCTACAATAAAGAGAAAGAGCTTCTGAAGCACGGTGCCTGGAGTTGGGCTGGATGCGCACCAGCCTTGGGCAAATCCAAAGCTTCCACTGCTTTGGCAAAGACCCTGAAAAAGGGGTGGGGGTTCCAAACTCCTCCTGGTGTATTTGGGGGTTCCATTCTGTGGTATTTGGGGGTTTCATTCTGTGGACCTTGGAGCCTAGGACCCCGTCCACCCCTGTATCTGGCAATCCCTTTCCACCTTCTCTTTTCTATTCCCAGTGGGGTTTCCCCGGAGGGCAAGTCCTACTGTAAATTGGACCGGCCTGTCCGAAGGAGTTATGCAGGCGGATCAAGGCCCTCACTTTCCACCAAGTCCAGAGCACGCCCTCAACAAATGCGAGATCGCCCGGGTTATTTGAGGAGCTGTTAAGACCTTGTTCCCCGCCCCTCCTGGGTCCCTCCCGGTTCCTCCACCCAGGCGGGCGGCGCCTTACCTGGACCCGGACCTCAGGAAGGTTGACCTTGCCAGCCAGCTCCTCGCGGCTGTACACATCGGGGTAGTGGGACTTCTCGAATGCGCGCTCCAGCTCATGTAGCTGGTACGTGGTGAAAGTCGTGCGGTTGCGCCGATGCTTCTTCTTGGGCTGTTCCTCCTCAGACGGCTTCACGTCGTTGGCGGCCGGCCCACTTGGCAGCCCGGAGCTCGGGCGTACCTCCCCAGGTTCCTTGGGGCAGTAGGGGCGAGAAGCTGGGGCAACAAGGCCCAGAAGGGTCAAATGGACTCCCCTGGTTCAGGCTCCGAGCTACCCTGTTTTCCCGCGGGTGCTGACCAGCGCTACTGCTGGCAACTAGACGGGCCTAGGGAGGTGGGAGGTGAGGGTTACGAGGAGTGTCTAACGCTTTGCTCCTGCCACAGACAGAGACTCTCATCCCTGCGCCCAGGTGCCAGCTCTGCTGTCTTGCAGAACTTCTCGGCTTGGGCACAAGCCGAGGTGCACACTTACCGTCGTACTCCAGGGTGTGCACAGACCGGGGTTCTGTGTCTTCCCCCGCTTCCTTGGGATCAGTGGGGCTCACACCCAGCCTCCGATCGCGTTCCTTCACGCCCCGGGTGCTTCTCTCCGCCGGGAAAGCGCCAAGAATCCCGTCATCCTTGGTAAACCCCAAGATGGCCTCGATGCTGTGCAACCGAGAGGCGCTCCCGCCTGGGCTGCGGAGCAAGTGGCCCGCGAGCGAGAAGCTCCCGTCGGCCATGGCGGGCGCGCAGCCCGGCAGGTGCATGAGGAGCGCCCGAGGCGAGAAAAGACGTGCAGTTAGAAGGAGCTCCAAGAAAGCTCTCCCTGGTCAGCGATGGAACCTGACGGGCTACTTCCTAAGATCAAGCTTGGTGGACCATGCCCGCCCCGGCTGAGCCCACTGGTGGTGGGCGAACACTCGGCCCTGCCACCGACTCTGTCCCTGCAGAGATGGAAGTTCGATCGGGTCAGCTAGGGCTCCTGGCACTAACGGCTGGGAGCCGGTGGCCTCAGACTCCTCCCCTATCTCCGGGGACCCAGCCCCTTCTCTTGGACCCACCCCCCGCAGGGGGCGGGTCCTTGCCCTGCCACCCTGGGGGAGCGCTCGGAATGTCTCACCTCACCTCTTGATCCGCTCCAACCCTCACCAACGAGTCTCGGAGAAGGACAGGCCATCTACCCGAGGCTCCTTCTCCTCACCCTTCTGTGGCCCTAGGCGCGGCTCCCAGCTGCTAGCTCGGCTATGCGGGGGCTCCTGCTCTTGTCCGCCCCGGGGCCTGATCTCTCCCAGCTCCACAGCCAGGGGCGCACCACAGCCAGGGGCGCAGCCGGGGAGCTCAGAGATCCTCCCCGACACTTCCGTGGCTCCTGTGGGAATCCACGCGGCTCGGGATGCCCGGTCTCCCTCTCTCCTTCCCCTTTCTGCTCCAGCGCACTCCTCTCCAGGCTCGCTGGTCCCTCGTCCCAGCCGTCGGGTTTGTCTACTTATCTCTTTCAAGGGCTCCTCCTTGGCCCACTCACCGCTGGAGGCTCCAGGCTCAGCCGGCGGCGGGCGCATGTGCGCCCACGGTTCCAGCACCCTCAAGACCAGTCCCGAGTCTGACTTTCGGACTGTGCCTTGGAAGGGCAAGGTTCTGCCCCGCTGCCCCTGCTTGCCTCCCCCCCCCACACCCCCCCCCATCCCCGCCAAGCCAAGGGACCGCTGCCGCTGCGCACTGGGCAGGACCTCAGGCTGGCACTTGCATGAGGGTTCAGGGGTAATCCGATTGTGTTTGTCCCCCACATCCCCCTTACCTCCCTTAAGGGGGCCATGGAGGCTCGTGTGACCCAAGAGCGAGTCAGGTGGAGGAGGGAGCAGCGTGGCGCGGCGTGGGTGGACGCTGGCACCGGGAACCCTGCCAAGGCCAGATCCAGCCCCAACCCCCACAACAGGCAGCCACGGGCTCGCCCGGCATCTTCAACCCTCAGAAACAGAATGAAAACACCTTGCAACCATCACATCAAACAGCAAGGATCGGGCCTGTCTAGAAAGGCAAGGCAGAGAAACACACACTTGCTCCCATGGTCTAGCTTTAAATTAGGGTTACAAGGACAGTTTGCTAAGGACAAGTGAGTACATTAAGGATTTGTTAAAGGGTTAACTCTCCGTGATGGGCATATGGAATGGAGAGTGGCCCATTTGTATTAACCAAGCTATTTTTTTTCAAATATTTGTTTTATTTTTTAATTGAAAATGTTATGGAAATAGAAGGAGAGAGGTAGAGAGGAGGAGGAGAGAGAAAGAGAGACCTTCCACCCCCTGCTTCACTTCGCAAATGGCAGCAACAGCCTGAGCCTGTCAGAAGCTGGGAGCCAGGAGTCTCTTGTGTTTTCCATATGCACAGCCCAAGGACTTGAGCCATTTCTATTATCTCCTCAGGCCATAAACAGGGAGCTGGATTGCAAGTGGAGCAGCTGGGACTCAAACCTGCACCCACGTGGGGATGCCAGTGCCAAATCTCCCCATTTTTAGATCAGCTCTATGAAATAAACAAAAAGTGGTATTGTAATAAGTACAAATGGGACTATTTGGGGGGTGGGCCCTGGGAGCAGCAGTTAAGATCTGCTTGAAATGCCCAACATCCCAAAACGTAGCTGTTTCCAACCCAGCTTCCTGCCAGTTCAACACTCTCCCAGGTAACAGGTAATGGCCCACAGGGGAGATCCTGACCATGCTTCTGGCTCTCGACTTCCAGGTGGTTAGTCCTGGCTATTGGGGGCAGAGGAGGTTGGAGGTACAGAGATTTGGCACAAGAACTAGCAGGTGGAAAAATCTCTCTCTGCCTTTCAAATAAAATTTTGAAAAAGTGAATGCAAGGAATTTTAACAAGAAATTTAACTACTCAATCAAATCAGAAGTTATTTTTAAGGCAGACGAAATGAACAGCACCTCAGAGTTGTATGTATCCCTTTGTAATTATGGGGTCCCATTTTATGGGGCTTGAACTAGGGTGCTACCATCCACTTGCGGAATCAGGATGGAGTTGTGGCTTCAGCTCAGCCCAGCCTTGACCCCAGAGGGCCTTTCAGCAGTGAACCAATGGATGAGAGCTTTCCCTCTGTGTGTCTCTGCGAAAATCAACCGATCAAATAAGAACGCTGGGATTTGTTTTGTTTTGTTTTTTCAAGTCTACGGAGTGTAGCCCTTGTGTCCTGGGACCTAGGTGACTTTTCCAGTCCTGGGGGATGAAGGCTGTCTGGTATCCCCCTCGGGCTCTCCAAGGCTGGCAGTGACCTGGTGCCACCCAAGGTCTCACATGCCAGGTATGAAGCCCAGGTGGCTGTGGGACTGTGGCCCTGGTGAGCAATGGACAGCCATCAGGGGCAATTCATTGCTGTTTGTTGCATCCCCACATGACTGGGCATGCTTTCTGTGGAAACTTCCCCAATATTGCATTGATCTCTTTAATCACCGCTAAACGAGGATTGGCACCGGTTTCCTAAGCCCCTGCCCACACGCGGCTATGGGGTTTAGGGACTTGTTTTCCAAAGTCTGTTCCCTTTGGAACTGCCCAGCTCTCCTTAATAGGTCCTGTTGAAGTGAGCTTTTATTTACTGTTTATTTCAGAGTCTGGGGAGAGAAGCAGCAGGGGCCTGTGGGACAGAGCAGGACAAGAGGAGGTTGGGGCCTCCTTTGTGCAGGACATAAAGGGCCAGTCAATAGCTTTGTGGGCACAGTGGAGGGTACTCCAAGCAATCAGCCGGGGGTCATTGTTAGGGGCTAATCTACATGTGTATTTCCCAGGAACTCGATTAGAGCAAATGAATGGACTGGCCATGTCCCTAATTCTCCCAGCCCAGAGCTGCCTCTTTCCAGCAGTTACGCCAGTTCATAATCAGCCCAGCTTCAGCAAAAGTGGGAGCCTGGCTTCTGAACTCTACCTCTGTTACATGCATCAATTCATTAGCCGGATCAAAGAGGGTGGCGGCTCCCACCTGCGGGCTGACCTTAGCCCATTAAACTTGGCACAGTTTGGAGAAATATGTTCATGAAAGTGGGGAAGTTGCGGGATAAAATGACTTTGATTCTGAGTATGTATAAGCAGTCCAGGGCCTGGGAGTGTTCTTGGGCCATCCTAGGACAGGTGGATATGGATTCCTTGTGCCTTTGGTGGGGCAGGAGAAGGTGTCTATGAATTAATCCGGCCACAGCCTCTAGTAATTTCATCCATCAGCTATATTTTACATTTTGGTGAAATAAAAGGTCTACTTACGGGGCTATGAGATATTAATTCAGAAGTGCGTGGAATCCATCCTCCTGTTGCTGTGTGGACTATCTCTTGAGTAGATGCGATTTAATCCCGAGTCACCCCACAATAGAGAGCCAGCTTCTCCTGCTAGCTGACACATGTTCAAGGAAGACAACTTTAGTTTTAGCTAAAACAGAACATACAAATCCTATGATCACTAATCACAACACTCAGCGGTCCACGCACTCTGAAGTTCACCAACTCCAACTAAGAGTTAAAACATACATGTTAAGAGCTAGTCATTTTTATTTGAAGTGCTTATTTTTTTTTTCATCTATTTGAGAGTAGAATTACAGAGAAAGAGGGCGAGCTGCTTCCTTCCATCCACTGATGCACACTCCAAAAGCCTGTGACAGTCAGGAGCCAGGAGCTCCCTGCATGTGGATGGCTGGGCCCCAAGCACTGGAGCCCTTGCCTGCTGCCTCCCAGGATGCACAAGCAGGGACCTGGATCAGAAGCAAATGTGCTGGAACTCAAACTACTGGCCCTCTCCTGTGGGATGCACACTTCCAAGAGCTGGCTGAACCTGCTGTGCCACAATGCCTGCCCCTAAGAGCTTTTATTTATTGACACTAACTGTATGCAAGTGAATATTGGCCACTTTCTCTGTAGTGGAGCCCAACTATGTGTGAATTTTTAAAGTACTGAATAGTGGATTACCAAATTTCATCCTTATCAAAACACTATGAGGTGGACACTATTATTATCTCCACTTTCCAGGTTAGGAACGGGTTGCTCAAGACATGCGGTTGACTTCAGGTGGAGCCAGGATTTGAACCCAGGAGTTTTATTCCGGAATGTGTCCCTCTAATCATCATGAGTATTATTTCTCACTAGGCTGTGTGTGTATTAAGAGGTGCATGTCCATTTTCCATTGACTACAGGAGAACTAGAAAGTAAATTGGAACAAGACACTTTGGAAGGCAAGGATGACAGAAATAAAGCAGGTATGTGCGTCTAGTCTATTGTTGGTTGCAATGATAACAGATCCACTTAAAAATAACTTAAATATGCTTTTGAACTTTCCTTTCCAAGGTTTTCTCCAAATAACTCCATAATTAGTGACAATAGAGTTCCAAACATTTGTTTTTAATACTGTGAATTCTCGCCATACGTTGTGTTTACCTAATTTGAAATGCTTGGGACCAAAAGTGCTTCAAATTTGGGGTGTGTTTCAGATTTTAAAGTCATTGCGTATCTGTAGTGTCTTGAGAACAGATCCAAGAATAAACAGGAGATTCATTTTCGGTTTACACATTCCTTACACACTCAATCTGAACATAACTGGATACATTGGTTTTTAGTGGCCCTACATTTAGAATCGGTACAAACACAAGGAAGTTACTTGTTGTGTGACTCCCTCATCACTTACCAACCCAGTTACCTCGGTTCTGCGTTTGCTTTCACAGCTGATGCAAGTTCAAGTATCCTCTGTGTAAGGGGAAAAAAATCACGTGGCAGCAGACTGCAGGGCATC